CAGGGGTGGTGAGAGGATTCACCAGAGACAGAGTGGAGAACAGAACAGTCAAATTGACGTACACTGCTGTGGCGAGCAGCGAGCTAGACAGGAGAGGTCTGCTGTGGGTGTGGATCACCTTCCTGGCCGGTCCAATCTCATGCTGCGTTGAGGCTAGTTTTGTAGTGCTGCTCTTTAACCCATTGTATCACCAGGGAGGGCCACCTTTTCCTTTTCGTTGATGTTTATTTTTCGCTGCAGAGGATTTAGTTTGACAAAGTTTCACTTATTTATTTTTCTTTTGTTGCTTATGCTTTTGTTATCATATCCAAAAATTATTGCCAAAACCCATGCTGAGAATTTCTCCTATGTTTTGAATGAATGAATTTCCCTGTTTTTTTTTTACTAAGAGTTTTATAGTTTCTGATCTTATATTTAAGTTTTTAATGCAGAATTATAAAGTTTAAGAACCACTAGTATAGAGAAATTTTGAAGAAATATTCCACTATTGCTTTTTTTGTGAATTTGTGTGTTCTGAACTATTACAGACAAAATTTGCATTAGGATATCAAATATTTGGGGTTGTCAAAGTTCCTAAATACATGGCTTTGTAAACTGACCTAAGTTAATATGTTCACACACAGCCTTTAGGTTCTTTGGGTGGACTGTATTAGTGAGCAAAAACTATTAACATAAGTTAGTGGAAAAGTGTTAACCTACCAAGTTATGATAGAGGCAACTTTAATGTGATTTAGACAATTGAACAAGATTTAAAGAGGTGAGAGTTGGTTGTACATGTGAGAGTTGCAAACACTTGGTGAGGCGGAGGCAGTGATTGCAATGAGCAATGATGTCACCACCTAAAAACAGTTTGAGAACTACAACAATGATTCCACCTGACAAAAGGAAACATAGGCACAACAAGAATAGTTATGGCTAATATTTATCAAGCACTGAGCCACGCCAAATTCTTAATTTACTTGAATTTATTTAATCTTTATAATAATAATTTGAGGTTGATGTAAAAAGTTAGACTTGGAGGAATAAATAAGTTTCCCAAAGTTAACAAACTGGAGAGTGGATAAACCAGTATTTAAGTCTTTTTATCTGACTCAGATGTCATGTTTATTATTAAAAGGAAGATAGCGAGACGGTTTAACTGCACGTGCAAAGTTATGTAGAGATTTTAGACAACATGAACCCAGATGCAAGTCAACAGTTTGACGCAGCTGTAAAAAAAATTGAATTCAACCTAAATATGAGCTAATAATAGTAGGTCATGTCTACTAAGTTTTGGCCCCAGCTGTATGTCAGACTCTTTTTTAAGCTCTCTATATGTATCAACTCCTTTTGCTTTCACAACAAACTTGCTAGGTCATTCCTTTTGTCTGGAAAGAAAGAACTGAGACTCGGAACAGTTAAAAAACTTTGTCCAGTTTTAGAGCAGTGAGGAAGTAGTGATTAAATGGGGGGAGGCTTCTCTGTCCTCTTCTGATGGTACCTACACCTTCCCTGGCTTCAAAATGTGTCTGTAAAAGTAGGTGGAAGATTCTGAGTTCATGGCTTCCTCATCATTATGTACATGAGTGATTTTTTCATATAGTGCTGGTAGTCTGCCTGGGGAATTGGTGAAATGGAAAGTTCCCATCCCCACATTTGGAAGTGATGATTCAGATTCAGCACTTTTCACAATTGTCATCCTCTGAGGATGCTCTTGAAGTACCAGTTTGAGTATTCTTCATGGCAGTCCAAGAGTGACACAAGATGAGATATTTCAGTTACAAGGAAAAAAGAAAATGGAAATAAGAAGTTAAGAGGAAGATTAAAATTGCATATAATTATGTAATGAGGGTTATTAATTTTTATTTATTCACCTTGATATTCATTGTTAATTTTTTACAAGAGCGTTGTTGCTTTTATGATTATAATAGTCATAAGATCATAAAGCGCTCAGTCAAAATAATAATTTTGTGGGTATAGTGTGATGCTGGAAATATGCACAGTGATTTTTTAAATTATAATTTTCACACATCATTATCACCCAAAGTCCATTGTGTAAGCTATGGTTCATTCTTGCTGTTGTATAACCCATGGGTTTTAGAAAATGTATATAATATTTGTATCAACCACTGTAGTAGCCCACAGATTAGTTTCATTGCCCTAAAAATCCACGGAGCTCACTCATTCATTCCACCTTTCCTACCACTCATACCTCCCCCCAATTACCTTGGACCCTAATTTCACTTTCACTGTCTCCATAACTTTGCCTTTTCTGCTAGGTCATATAGTTGGACTATACAGTATATACTATATAGCCTTTCAGATAAACTTCTACTTGGTAATATACATTTAAATTTCCTCTGTATCTTTTTTTTGTCTTGATAGCTCATTATATTACTGAATAACTGAATTATATTACTGAATTGTATATCTGTACTAAAATTTGTTTATCATTCGCCTCTTGAAGGTCATCTTAGGTGTTTCCATGGTTGTGCAATTATGATTAAGATACTCTACATATTTGTGAGCAGGGTTTTTTTGTATGACCATATATTTTTAATTCAGTTTAGATAAATACCAAAGTGTGTTCACTGAATTACATATAAGAGGATATTTGCCTATATTCAAAACTACAAAGCTATCTTCTAAGGTTTCTGTGCCATTTTGCATTTCTACCAGCAATGAATGGGAATTCTTATTGTTCCACATCTGGTCAGCATTTGATTTTATTCATTCAAGGGGGATGTGTAATTATTTCTCACTCATTGTTTGGGTTTGTAATTCCTTAGTCATGTGTGATGCTGAGCATCATTCACTATGCTTATCAGCAACTTACATATCATCTTTGGTGACCTGTCTGTTCAGATACTTTGCTAGTTTTAAAAATTGGGTTGTTCATTTTCTTCTGTTCAGTTTTAAGACTTCTTATTTTAGAGAATAGCCCTTTACCAGATATATCTTTTGCACATTATTTTTTGTCATTCTGTGGCTTGTCTTCTCTTTCCCCTGACAGTGTCTTTTGCAGAACAGAAGTTTTTAATTTTAATGAAGTCCAACTTGTGAATTTTCTTTCATGGATCATGCCTTTGATGTTTTATCTAAAGAGTCATCAACAAATCTAAGTTCTCTAGAATTTTTCCTGTTTTATTTTAAGGTTTGGCATTTTATATTTAAGTCTGTGATCAGTTTTTTTGGCTTTTGGATGTTGAGCTACTGCTGCATAATTTTCAAAAACATTTTCCTTTCTCCTCTGAATTGGCTTTGCTCTTTGGTCAAAGATCATTTGATTCTACTTGTGAAGGGTCTTTTTCTGAGCTATTTTGCTCCATCATCTACTTGTCTATTCTTTCTTCAGTCCCACAATGCATTGCTTCCACAGTGAATCTATACATCGAGTTAGAAAAAACTGGCACCTTAAAAATTTGAGTCTCCCTATTCATGAACATGGAATATCTTTCCATTTATTTATTTCTTTGATTTTATTTCCTCAGAGTTTTGTGACTTTCTATATATACCTTGCACATATTTTGTTGTATTTATATTTAACTATTTCATTTGTGTGCATGTAAATGATATTATGTTTTAATTACAAATTTCAATCATTCATTATACGTAGAACATTGGTTGGCTTTGGTACATTAATCTTGTATTCTGTAAACTTGCTATAAGTTACATTTGGTCAAAGTCAAAAATGTGGTCAATTCTTTGAAGGTTTCAAGGTAGACATTGTATCATCTATGAACAGAGATTCTTCTTCTTTCTCATAGGTATGTTTTCAATTTCCTTTTCTTAACTCATGACATTTGCTAGTACTTGTAGTACAGTACTGAAAAGGGGTGGTGAGGAGACATGCCTGTCTTGCTCCTCATTTTAGGGGAATTTCTAGTTTTTTACTACTTACTGTGATGGAAGCTATAGGTTTTTGTAGATATCCTTTACTAATTTGAAAACATTCTTCTTTATTTCTAGTTTGCCCGTACATGGGGAAATTCAGATACAGAAGAACACAAAGTAGTGTGTATAATTGGATTCGGATTTTGGGGGAAGGGGAAAGGTTTTCATTCAAAAACTGGAAGAGAACACACTTAAGACTCAAAGTAGAAGTTTTGAACTGGATAATGGGTATTTCCTTCGTTACATAGTTCTGTATTTTCAAAATTTGCTCTATGAAAAATAACACCATGAAATGGGATTAGGTGTTCTGGAGTGAACGACTTGGAAAATGCCATTAGAGGCTGAATTCAATGGAAATAGAAGAAAGAACGAACGGATTTAGTAATCGGGTCATCCACGAGAATGTAAGCTCTCTGAGGACCAGGCCTCACTGAACCATTCCCACAGCGTAATAAATCAATTCACCATGTGCCTCTGATTTGTGTATGTAATGCCTTTTATTTGCTCGGCATTCTGGCCATGATTTATGTGGATGCGGAAACCAGGTTTCTGCTTTTCCAAGTAGTTTTACTTATTTTAGAACAGGGAAGGAGATTAAGAGATTGAAGCTGAATTGCACTACTGAACCGGGAGCCGTAGGATCTGGAAAGTCTTAAGAGAGGGAGGAGGAGCGCGCCCCAAGCCTCTGGGGTGACTGATCCAGCACGGGCTTCCGGGCCAGCTCTGATTAGAGCGCACCCCGGGCGGCGCTACGAGGGCAGCAGCGCCCCCAGCTGGCTCCGGCGCTCCCGGCTGGGCCCATCCGGCTCTCCCAGGTGCCCTGAGAGCGCGCCCCGAACCCAGTGTTCAGCGGGTTCCAGGCTCCCGCGCCGGGGGAGTGCTAAGGGCGGCGGCGGCGGCGGCGACCGCGACCTGCGAGAAGCGCAGCGTCCGCACTGCCCCTACTGCCCGCTCGCTGCAGCGAGCGCCGCGGACCGGCTGAAGCCGGGCTTAGCTGCCGCGCCCGCGCTGTGCCGCACGCCGTGGAGCCGCTCGGGGACGACCCGCGCGGGCGCGCACAGGCGGCACCGAGCGGCCGGCGCCCAGCGGACCCTCGGCGGGCTGCGCGCCCACCTTGCCCGCGTCGAGACTGCCTGCTGCTCGGGCCGTGGCCCCTCTGCCTCAAGTCTGGGAGCTCCCGGCCCCACTCTGCCGTTGCCTATGGGGATCCGAGAGTTTCCCGGCGGCGCACCCAGGGGCAAAAGCATCACCGTGTGAGTAGCTCTCTGGGCGTGGGTGCGCCAGCGGGCTGACGGGCGGAACGCCGGGGTGGCCCTTTGCAGCCGGCACTGGCAGACCGGGGCTCGGGAGGGACAGCGCGCAGTGGGCTGCTCGGGAAGTTTAATCCATCCTCTGCCTTGCTAGTCGCTCCAACCTGCACTGCCTGAGGCACCCAGGATAGGGCACTGGAGACGGGACCCGACGCCCAGGCTGCCGAAGGAGCCGGGGTGAGGTGGAAGGGTGGCGGGCGGTGGCAAGGAGGAAACGCCGACCCCGCAGGAACACCTGCCCCCGAAGAGCCTGGGCCGCGCCTCTGCTAGTTGGGGGATCTGCTGCTTACCAAATCCCTCCGTTCTCTGTCCTTGCTCCCCTTCCCCGCCCACCTGCCTGCGATCTTAGTGGCATGAGGAGGTCACCGGACGTCAGCCCCCGGAGACTATCCGACATCAGCCCCCAGCTCCGGCAGCTGAAATACTTGGTGGTGGATGAGGCGATTAAGGAGGATCTGAAATGGTCACGCTCGGTGGAGGACCTCACCAGCGGGCCCGTGGGGCTCACGTCCATCGAGGAGCGGATCTTGCGCATCACCGGCTACTACGGCTACCAGCCCTGGGCAGCGAGCTACAAAAGTAAGACCCCTCATCTCATTTCCCTCGTCCACCATTCAGCCCTCCCGATGGTTCTGACAGCAGCCGAGGGTGGTGCCCCTAGGGAAGCGTCTGCCCCCTTATTCTGCCGGCAGATACAGACCTGGGCACTTGGGGGAGGGGGTCCTGAGACAGAGTTCTTCAGGACCTTTGGGAATTTCTGGTTCATTCTCGTACAGCCCCAGTATTCCCACACACCCCTCTGTTCTTATCCCTTGCTCTTGAGGTATCACTCTGCGAGAGACAGCATTTGGAAAGTCAAGGGACCCTGCTGTGTGGCATCCTGGCGGATCTGAAAGTGTTACCGTGCCTCACATCAGGGCTCAGCTGGCTTAGTTAGAGACTGCAGACTTAGCTCCTGGATTTGTGGATTTTAACTCTTCCCTTGTCTCTTAGGCCGGGCTGGTGGAGGGCAATTCTTGGGGCCGACATTTTAGATCCCACTCCCTGCCCTAGGTCTTTATCTGCCCGCATGGTGGGGTTTACTTCAGTTCATTCTAGATACTGGCATTTGGTCCCTGAGAGATGGTTGGTGCCAGGTGGAGCAGCTGAAACTTTGCATTGCCAGTAGGACCCCGTTGATGGCTTTGGCGATGCTGTCATCAGTCATAAGACAATTCCTGTGGGCCGCATCTATTTGGTGGACGTGTCTTTCTCTCACTTTGGAAACCTATAATTGTAATTGTAATTAGGAGGTTCCATCACTATCTTTTGACATAGCAAAGAGGTTGCCACTTACAACCTCAGCCAGTGTAAGAAATGGGTATTACTTTATTCCATTTGTAAAAAAGACTAACAGTTTAATGGTTTTGAGATATGTGTTTACCTTTCATTGCTTGAAATTGGAGCATACTTTATTGGTCCTTAGGGGGAAAGTCAGGTTTTTGTAGTTTAATCATATTGGGCTCTAAAAATATGCTTTTCTTTGCCTTTTTTTTAAACCCTTGACACTAAGCTAAAGGTCAATGGTATATTTGAAGCTAGCAGGTTACTTTTAGGTTATTTGCAGGAACAAACAGGATTTTCATGTATTGTTTTCATGCCCTTACTTGTTTCTAAAGAACTGTGGTGATTGCATTCACCTCTCTATAAACCTTTAAAAGGTTATGTCTCCTCCAATCGCCTGATTCTGCTGCTAAAATGTAGCTGATAAATGGGCTTTGGATTACAGACGGAAGAAAAGGGGCCAAGTTCTAGACTTTTCAGTGGAAAATACTAGGCATGTAATAACAAGAATGAAAACCTATTAGAAATGATTTATCTTACGGATAAGAATAAGCCACTCCATATCTGCTTTCTCTTGAAATTTTTTATTAATTTATAATCTTCTGCTGTTGATAACTAAAGACAGGGCTACAAATTAGTCTTCACGAAGTCCTCTGTTTAGTGCCTGAAAACATCTTACAGTGTATCTCTGCAATTCTGTTTGCAGTTGACCCTGTATGCTTTGCAGAGATTAGCACTGAGGTTGTGACTTTGAAGCTGGTAGCACACTTATAGCAGAGTTGAGGGTGTTTGGTATAATCATCTATATCATTAATACAGCCATATTGAAAATGAGTCCCTTTGTTGGCAATAGTATTCTTACAACTGTCTCTCTGGGGCTTCACTGAGGGAGTAAATTTTAGCAGACAGGCTGCAGTGGTCAGTTTGATGTGAATAAAATCAGCACATTCCACTCTCCTTATTGCTGATACTTTACAACAGTGTACTACCATTTTTTTTTTACTAAAATGCTTTAGGTGATAACTGACATTTTGATGCATTAATTGGATTTTAAGTTTAAATTTAGAGAAGCTAATGTTTTATTAATAAAGCCAGAAACATTTTAGGGCAGCCATGTGATGGTTTTGCCAGTTCCGCGGAAGTAGAGAAAATTAATAATGAGGCTATATGTATGTAGGTATCAGTTAGATATCTTATTTGTTGACTCATAATCACACTCAACAAACTGGGAGAGATGAGAACAAAAGAAATAGTCTCATCATCCCCAGGGCAAGTTATGGGATGTTCACTCTTCATCCTAAACATTATTATGCCACTTTTCAGTCACTTTCCAAGTGATCTATGTCCTCACTGAATGAGTAACCATTTTCTAGATGATTTGAGAGATTTAAGTTGGCTGCCTTTATAGCAGCAGAACTTACTTTGTTGACCAAGTATTCTTTTTACCCTCTTGGTTTCCACTTTGTTGTGGATTATTAAGATAAGTGATGCCATTGTTGTGAATGGGGGCAGGTGTGACCTTTGCTCAGTATTCTCAATCCAGTGAGTGAAATGAGAAAGTTTCACTCTAGACAAGAGAAAAGGAATTGTTTTGTAAAAAATCCAAAGGCCCTTGGGTCTTAGAGAGATGCTTTCTGTGGAACATTTAGCTAAACACTAAACTATAAAAACAAGTAGGTAGAAAGGTCAGGTTGGTTCCTCTTTTGGAGGCTGAAGTCTGCCAGGCTCCACAGTCTGCATTTCTGGATCAAACTTTGGGGCAGTATTCCTGGAGGTTCCTGGGATTCCTGGCTGGGAGTGGACACAGAGCACAGAAAGCTTGTGACCCACAGTAGTTGCTCCTCAGTGAATATTTGTTGAATGAGTGAATGAATGCAGTTGAAAGATTGACCTCTGGGAGGGAGAGGGAGAGAACTTTAGCACACATTTCTGTAGTGATTTGTCTCATTTAACTCTTTATGCTGACTTCCTGTTAGTTTGGAAGCGCCTCACTTCTTCCTTATTCTTTCATCAGTAACGGCATCCTCGGCTTTGAGAATATAGATGAGACAAGAATTCTTGATAGCAAGTGTTAGTTTGGCCCAGGGTTTCTCAGCCTCAGCACTATTGACACTTTATACTAAATAACTCTTTATTGTGGGGCCATGGCATGACCATGGGATATTTAGCAGCAACCCTGCTTCTATTGCTACCTAGGTGCCGCCTCCCTATCATGCCCCATCTGGGTTGTGACATTTAAGCATGTTTCCAGACAATGTCCCCAGGAAGTGTACTCTAGGAGAACCCTTCATTTACCCTAGTCCTAAATTTATGTTTCAAGTGAACTCTTTTCTGTAGCGCTAACCTATAGGACCTGCCTCCTGAGTTCCTGACCACCTCTCTTCATTACTCCTGGACTGCTTTTTACACTTTAATAATGATCTGGGTTAGAATAGGCAGCCTCCTGAAAGAACCTGTTGCATCTGTGACTAAAATGATTCCCACCCACTCACCATAAATTGATAACTCAGAGAAAGTACTTTAGAATTAAGAACGATATAGATAGTTTCCCTTAATGACTTTCTTTTCTCTCCCACCTTATACCAGAGCAGAAGAGAAATGACCCACTGGAAGCTCTTCTGCTTCCCCTTTCCTTTCTCATTCTCTGGGCTAGACACCAGGGGAAGAGCAGGCTGCAGAAGGAAAGAGAAGTGAGGTTCAGAAATAGCCATCCTTATAGATTACATCCAGCTCAGGCTCCTGACCTGGGAATAAGGGAAGGAGCATACCTGGGAGCCCCCAGATGGAGGCTGTTGCATGGGATGAAGGAGATTCTATAAATGGTCTTTATTTCCTTTAATTCATTTAGCAAAATATATTGGGGCATTTACTGTGTATGGGAATATAGAGCTAAACTATAAAACACAGATGTGCAGATGTGGCTCACTGCACAGCTGTGCCTTTATCAAGAAACAAAGTTCAACAAAGGCCCGCATCTAGGAAATAAAATGTGTTTACATTTAACAGAGGTGGTTCACTTTGCAAAGGTTTCCCTGAAGGGTGTTTTCAAATAGTGAGCTCTCAAATATTTTTCTAAGTAAGGAAACTTTTTAGGAATTGCTCTGGGGAAGGGGAGTGGAGGAAGGGCACTGCTTAAAATGAGGAACAACGGTCTTTTGAGTAGAGTTATTACTACATTGTGGTGCTTATACTGAACATGTTCAGATAAAAATGATTTTTAAAAATGGTAATGCATATATTTTTAAATCATTTGTCGAGTGGATAGTGGCCTAGCTTAGTCCCAAAAAACCATTCGATATCTAGCCCACTCCAGCCTGCCATTGACAACGTGAGCCTAGCCCAGGGTCAGACAAAACTCAGTTTATCTGGTGGAGGTTTTATAGTTCTAGCTGAAAAACTGTAGGGCACTGAATAACTAATTTGGTTACGAGGAAATCATATTTCAAGATCCTCCAGGTTTCAAAGGTCAGAAAGGGGTTGTATGAAAGGCTTGACTGAGGGGAAAGGGCTAAGGGCTATCTCCCACTCTCCTTGTGCTTTCAGACAGCACTGAGTACAGGCTGCTGACGTCATCACCAGTGCTAACTGGAGCAGTGGCTCATCGTATAATTGAATTCATGGTGAGTCGTTTTTGTTTGAACCTCCCAAAATAGTAAAGGTCAGGTCAGCAATTCAAAAATGACCCAGTTGTAATAGATTTATAATTTGGTTGTAAAAATGAATTTTGGAATGGAGCTGGGCATATGACAGATGAGATTGAAAAGATTTCTTTTTAAATGTTGGATGGTGGTGAGGGTAGGGTGGCCTGAGCATCGAGTCTAATATTTTGTAGTTTCTCAGAGTAAACTTTATTCCTGAATGTGAATACACGCTAACAATCTAGCAAATAGTTTTCTGAGAGCTGAAAGAACTGAAATGCAGAAGCATTCTATTTTAAGGCAACACGGAGGCTGGTACACTCAGATCATGGAGGGATTGGAAACCCCTTACCTCTGGGTGTGAAGGGGACCTGGCCGTTCTCATCTTCAGGGAGCAGAGTCTCTGGTGGCTCCTGCTGTGCTGTTGCATTTCTAAGGTTGTGTCATGACCAGCTTAAGTGTGGGCCTCAAACCTGCTGGCAGGAAAGCTCTGGGAAGGCAGGTTCTCCACTGTCTCTCCAGCCTGCAGTGTGGCTCTTGGCACATAGAACTGAGGTGCTTTGATCGCCAGATTACAGAGTATCCCTGGCACCGAAGTCAGGAACGGTTGTTAGATTT